ACCTGTGAGGCGCGGAGAGGAGGCGGAGGTGAGGAAGACGTCCCTCCCCCCTTCCGCCCGTCAAGCCGCCGCTCGCTGCCCGGCTCCCCGGCGGCGCGGGAGGCCGGGCCGGGCCGGGCCGGTCCCGGGGGGCCCCCTCCGCGCTGCGCACGCGAAGCACCGCCGCTGCCGGGGGCCCCGTCGCCGCTCAGCAGCCCCGGCAGCGGCCAGTCGCCATTTCCCGCCTACCGACCTGCTGCACCGCACGGCGGTACCCGGATGATGACGGGAGGGGCGGGGGAAGGAGTGAGTCGGGCGGCCTGGGCCGCCGCTGCGCCGCGCATGCGCGCGCCGAGGGGGCGGGCCCTCCCGGGAGGTGCTCGCGCGCGGCCGGGCCCGCACTGTCGCGGCGGCGGGAGGGCGGCCCGGTGCTCCCTGCGCGCGCGCTTCCCCGGGAGAGCCGCGGCGAGGAGGCGTCGGTCGGCCAGCCGGCCGGCCGCTCCCCCGGGCCGAGCCCTGGCTTAGGTAAGCGGCTCGGGAGAGCGGCGGCCCGCCAACGGCGAGGCGCGGGCCCGCCGGGCTGCGGGCAGGGAAGGTCCCTCGCCGGCTCGGGGATCCCACGGCCAGCGCCGTGGGCCGCCGACGGAGCTCCGGCCAGGAGCGCGGCTCCCCGCGCGAGGAGCTGCGCGTCGATGGACTTGCGCCGCGCCGGCCTCCCAAGCCTGGCCGAGGGAGGTGCTTTTGCATCCCGCGGAAGCGCAGCCCTGCCCCCGGGAGCCACCCGCCGCGGCCTTGGGGCTTGGGGATCGCCCGCCAGCTGGAATGAGCTGGCATTTGCTCGCCCAAAAGCAAGACTTTGCGTGCTTCCTGCTTAGGTCTGAGCCAGGTCTCCTCTTAGCTTTCACTTGGTGGGTGTGAAGTACCTGCATCCGAGGTAGCGGGGAGTTCCGAGTGCTGCCCCAGCGGCAAAACTCTTATTTTGCTAGTCACCGTATTCGAAAGACCCACCATCAAAACTTGCTGCTGTGTGCGCAGGATCAGTGCGCGCTGATAGGACAGGTCACTGGGCCAGCAGCTAAAAGCCCTTCCGGAGAGGTTCCAGCCTTGGGTCCAGAATGCCATCACCACGCAACTCCAGACACAAATTAGGTTAAATTAGCTATCCCCCCAAAATAACAAAATGGTAATGTGGATACTAGTCTCTCACCCAAACCAAGGCCACCGATTAGCAGTCAAGGATCTCCTTCAGCACCCCAGGGCCCAGGTTGCACATGTTCACAGCAGCAAGCCAGCCACTCCAAATCCAGGGCTACATGTAGAAACAATACCGATATCCCAAATGCATTTTGTCTCACCTAGTCTTCAGTGGGAGAAAGATAAGCAGTTGCATTCTTCAGGGAAACAACCACTCTGTGCAACTCTCCAGGGTCTGTATCGAGATTTGGACCAATTTTACCACTCAAGTGCAATGCACATGGTTCAGCATGCACCATGCAGTGTCTCGGTCACGGTGTCCATCCAAAAAGCAGGTCTTGCTTCAGTTAACCCAGACCAGGTGATGTAGCCCCCCATGCACGTAATGATGTAAGGCAGCATGCTTGGCACAGCCACTTTTGCAGGGCCTCAGCTGGACTCTTCCCTGTCTTGTCAAGATCAAAGAGCTATACTGGTGCTACAGGGACAGAGGCGGCACTTTCAAAATGGAGGCCTTCAACCTGCACTTAAGTGGCCAGCAAGAGCAGTTTTGACAAGGCAGGGTGGGGTTTGCCCAATACTGTGGCTTGGGGCTATGCTGGGCTTCTCCAGCTCTGTGTTCTGATTACTCAGATAAAAGCTGCTAGTTGTGCTTTTAAAGCGGGAGGCTAGGAAGCAAGCTGTCATGTCAGGATCTGACTTGTGGTTGCCAAAAGCGTGAGACTGAAGAAAGCCACCCAAGAAGCCGAACTGCTTCCTGCAAGCCCTCTCATGCCTTGTTCTGGCAGAACAATGTGCTCCCTAGGGATTCCGCAGGCTTGGTCCTGAGTGCAGCCTTCCCCCCGGTCACCTAACTGGGATGAATTTTTGGAACACTACTCAGAGGAGAAAATTCCTCCGGTGTTGACAAGAGGCTGTGCCACAGTCATCCAAAGGAAGATTCTTTGTTGAGTGATGTGGGGAAACTAAACGGGAGCCAAACTCTTATTTAAGTTAAAGACAGGCTTAGGTGGATCGTCTTTTCAAAGCGGTCCTCTCCCTTTGAGTTTCCAGTTAGATCCAGAAAATGTGAGTTTGGCTGCAGACATTTGGAGCTGCTTCCCAGTGCTTAGAACTGACAACTGACTTGGGTTACTGTCCCCTAACAAGGACCGGAAAACCTGTGTTACTTTATGCAGGGAACCTGGCTTATGACGCGGCGGAGCGCTATCCGAGAGGACACACAAGGCCAGGTACAGCCCTCTGAAGCAAACGAGGCTGGGGAGTGTGTGGCTCTGGCAAGGCAGGGCAGGCACCAGTGCAGGGCCAAGGGTACTGCAGCATCCTATGAGGTAGCAACTGAAACCATCCCAAAGAAAAAGAAATGCAAGAAAGCAAAATGGCTGTCTGAGGAAGCTTCACAAATAGCTGAGGAAAGAAGGGAAGCAAAAGGCAAGGGAGAAAGGGAAAGATACACCCAATTGAATGCAGAATTCCAGAGAATGGCTAGAAAAGAATGCCTTCTTAAATAAACAGTGTAAAGAAATAGAAGCAAACAATAGAATTGGAAAGACTAGAGATCTCTTCAAGAAAACTGGAGATACGAAGGGACCGGTTCATGCAAAGATGGGCATGATAAAGGACAAAAATGGCAGGGACCTAACAGAGGCAGAGGAGATTAAGAAGAGATTACACAGAAGAACTATACAAGAAAGGTCTTAACATCCCTGATAACCACTGTGGGGTGGTCGCTGACTTTGAGCCAGATATCCTGGAATGTGAAGTCAAAAGGGCTTTAGGAAGTCTGAGCAACAACAAGGCTAGTGGAGGAGACAGTATTCCAGCTGAGCTATTCAAAATCCTAAAAGATGATGCAGTAAAAGTGCTACACTCAATACGCCAGCAAATTTGGAAAATTCAACAGTGGCCACAGGATTGGAAAAGGTCAGTTTACATTCCCATTCCAAAGAAGTATAATGCCAAAGAATGTTCAAACTACCGCACCATTGCACTCATTTCACATGCCAGCAAAGTTATGCTCAAAATCCTACAAGCTAGGCTCCAGCAGTATGTATTTATGCATGCATGCATGCCGCCCCCATCACAGAAAGCCCCATTGCAGAAAGCATCAAGGTCCAGTGTGTGGACTGAGAACTACCAGAAGTACAGGCAGGGTTTCGAAAAGGCAGAGGAACTAGAGATCAGATTGCCAACATACGCTGGATCATGGAGAACGCTAGGGAGTTCCAGAGAAATGTGTACTTCTGTTTCACTGACTATGCTAAAGCCTTTGATTGTGTGGATCACAACAAATTGTGGCAAGTTCTTCAAGAGATGGGAGTACCAGACCGTCTTATTTGTCTCTTGAGAAACCTGTATGCGGGTCAAGAAGCAACAGTGAGCACTGGGCACGGAACCACTGATTGGATCAAAATTAAGAAAGGAGTTCAGCCAGGCTGCATACTGTCACCCTGTCTATTTAACTTATACAGTGGTAGCTCGGCTCAGGAATGCCTCAGATTTATTTATGGAGGCAAGACTACAAAGGAGAAAGGGCAAACTGAGTCATTTAGATGTGCCATAGGTGGAGTTGCAAGGTGAAAAGGCTTTCATAGTATGGGATGTGCTTGGAAATGTTTCTGAGCCATAGGAGCATCCATTTCACATTGAGAGAGGATCTTGAGGTGCAACTCTGGTGTACCTACAGCTTGGCTCAGCGTTTTCATTGTGCACAGAACCTAATCTAAAATTATGCAATGCTTCCAAAGTGGTTGGCTAGCCAGCTGTATCAGTTGCTTCCTGAGATTATCCTATTTAAAACAGATCCCTCTATGGAGGGCGGCCGTTACTAATTATAGCACAAGCATTATGAAGAGACCTGTTGCACAAGTCTCTACCACACTCCTGGGGCATGGCTTTTAGACTACGGCGGAAGGGAAAACTTACTCATTTCCAGCACCTCAGGGGCCAGTTTTTAAATCAAGATGACCCTCTAAGGGCAAGTTAAAGGCTGTGCAGGGTCGTTCATATTTAATTGGTATATATCGTCATGGCAATGGCATTACACTTCACAACCCACCTGTTTTGAAAAATACTATTCCAACCTGTGATCCTTACAGATCGTTTGGAAAGAAATGAAGCTTTTCACATATTGCTTTCACAAAAACCCAACTATTTAACATCAATAAGATGAGATTTTTGAAAAATTAGATTTTAATTTTTTAAAACCAAACAAAAGTCTAAAGTCACACATGCAAAGGCAAAACCTGGCTAGGGGTGTAATTCTGTGCTTAATACGGTGGAATGTGTCCACGTAAGGCAAAGGAGTTTGTTTAGACAAAGTATCAAGATTTCTAAAGGTCTTCCTCTACAGGTAAAAAAGGAAAGCATATGGAACACACATATTGACAAATGCAAGGACCACTTATAAGAATGAATCAGTTGTAAACTGACATGGCTTGATAGTCAGATTTGTACCACTGTTCAGGCGCAAACTTAATTTAAGTCAACCATTTTTCTTGCCAATTTGAATCAGCAGTTTGAACTGCCTTGACTTCAGTCAATCAATCCGCTTTCCCACTGGTCACTTCCCTGAGTTAAATTGCAGTACATAGAAATTCTGATTTGCACAGCATCAGCTCTTTAACTGAATAAATCACGTGTGGCAGATACCACGAAATTGCTCTTCACAATGGCCCTCAGAAGCCAGTTTGTCATCCTGTGTGGCTCCCATACAAAGGAATACAGTCCCCTGAGAAAGAGTGTGATGACGCCTCTTTTCAGTTTTTAATGCTTTATTGTTTTAAACTGCCTTGATGGCTTTTAGAAGCTGGTAAATGAAGTTACCATTAGATACATGCCCCAAATTCCTGCTCTTTGCTTAAATTGTGTTAGTTACTTTACTGGCATCTGATAACCGCTGGGCCTTTGGTATTTTTTTAGTTTATCTGAATCCTTCAGATGCAATTATCAACTGCTGAAGAAATGTAGTTCCGTTCCTAAGAACTATGTGGAGTTACTCCTGCCAGAAAGGATACTTTACACTTGCTCCATATTGTCATTTCCCTGAAGGAAAACTGTTCAGGCAGCATGAGAAATAAACTCTTGGATGTGTGCAGAATTCACTGAGCAAGAACCTGCCATCAACCGTGGCTTCACTGTGTGTACAAACAGTAAAGACACACCGCAGAGGCGGTGTACAATGCAGCTTTCCTGCACCTAAGTCATTTGTGTTGGAAGATTCCTGCAACAAGCATTAGTGCCAGATATTTTGCTCCAAAATTATTCTTAAAAGGAGCATTATTTAAATACGAGGCCATCAAATTAAAGGGCCAACTACTATGATTCCCTATAATGATAATTACTTCAAACATCTAGGTCTAAATTCCTGGTCAAGACTGGCACCCCTAAAACTCTGTTTCCCAACCTTGGGCTCCTGTTGCAGAACGCAAATTGTCCTACAGTGCCAAGGATGAAATATTCTAGTCTAACACTTTGACTCTTGCGAAATGCAGTGTAAAAAACTCAACAGTTTCTGTGATGCTCACCATATTTCAGAGAAGGCGGATCCAACTACTAGCACCTAGTACAAAAGAATGAAGGCATTCTGAGGCGAAGAATTTGTTCTGAGTGCCAGAACTGAATGGGGGTCACCATCACACCACATGTCTACCAAGTTACCCCAAACATTCTCCCTCTTAAGCATTCCATAATGCAGGGCAAGCAGGAGTAAATTTGCTGCTGCCACTGAAACAGTCGAGAGTCAAAAATCCCAGCCAATCTACTACAAATTGTCCAGACAACTACCAGCAAGTCCAGATCTGCCTCCTATTATCCCGCACTAAACTCTAGTTGTTTGAAGAACTAGACAAAAGCAAGCATTAAAACTGTATTAAGCTTTATTAGAATCTATTAGATGTTCGGTTTCAACAGCAGAATCTTGATAAAATCACACCTAAATTGGGGCACACACATTTTGGTCAAATCACAGAGTACAACATTGCGACTGATGGTCATGGAGGGTTGGGAAACTACCTCTAAACAGGTTCAGCCTTGAATCTGTGTGTAAAACCCAGTTAAGATACAACTTGGAAATGAAGCTGCAGGAAGAATGGTCACCCCTGGAGGACTCCCAAGTTGTTGCACGGCTGCTTGAGAAGTGCCCTTAAAAAGTTTTGAATCATAAACTTCTGATTACAACACTTTTCAGATGGCAATCTTAAACAGATATCTTTTTATTCAATGCAAGTCATCCATTAAATTACCATAAATGTACTTACCAAACTGAACTTTAACCTGAGTACAGAAATAGTGAAGTACAATCAACCCTGTCATATAGGACTTAGAAATGCTATTCACAGTAGCCCTTGTTGATAACTGATTAGGGTTAATAAATCATCACTGCCAGGGTATAAATGGGCATAACCATTTCTGTAAACATCAGAAAGTGCTTTACACAAAAACAGACACCTTGAGCTTACACACACAAAACCACAAGAACATAGAACATACCCGAGCTTTTGAGTCATCCATACTGCAGCACTGAAGTTGACACAAGAATGAGTATCATCTGATTCTCTCCACACACCCAGGGTTCAAACAGGAAGGAATTTAGCAACTGTCAAGATTGTACTTTTAGCTACTTTCCAATAGACTCATCTATTACTGCATATGAGCAAGACCACTGCTGTAAAAACATAGGTAAATAATAAAATAGCTTTTTTCTAGCTCCTGTGTGCTAGAAATACTGGTTGTAGAGTTTGCTGATTTAAACTGGTAAATATCCTATAAAATGAGACAATGCTCTTGTCAGATTCCCATTACGGATAGCTTTAGTCACTCTCCTAAATTTAACTATATTGTCTCATATCGGTTTCATGTACTACGTTTCACTGTCACAGACCTTCCTTAGTTATGCTATTAAGGAAAGAACCTTCATAAACACATTTATCACATTTTCAGTCAACTTTCTTAAAATGAAATGTTACCTGTAAAATACAAGCCAGAATGGCAAGATAAAAGAATGTGCTAGCATGGAGTAATTAATAAATGTACATACAAACTGTACAAGTTCTTTTTACAAAGTGTCTTCATTTCAGAAATGCGGCAACCTAAGTTATTTTACAATGTCAGTTATTAAGTCAAAGATAAAGAATAGTCTTACAGCCCAATCTAATAAAGAGTTAAGTGTACCTAACTCTACAAAGGTTTGAGCTGTTAAAAATCTTGTAAAAGAACAATCTACCACCACACTTCTTTTTGCAAATATCAGAACCAATTATATACATATTTTACCTTTTCCTTCCACCATTTAATGTTAGCTATGGGTTTTGTGTGGTCTGCAGTCACTCCTCTGTGTCTTTTACAGTAAATACAGGAAAATGGGATCAGTTTTTTTCTTGTTGCTGATCTCTCAGCCAAAGGAAATGCAGAATTCAAAGTACATCATTGAAGCGTGCCTTCCCGTAGCCTGCAAGATCCATCTGAAGCTCTCTCTCCTCATCATCTGCAATCAAAGAGGCATGCCAAAATCAAGTCCTTAGAAGCAAGTTCTCAGAAACCAAATCATGCATCAAGAACATACTATTCATCACCTGTCCATGTAAACTGAGAGTATGGTGGAGGGAGGGCATACTGAAGAGTGCATTTCCAGAATTTTTGCTGTGAGCGGAAAATTTTACTTAACACACTTGTTTCAGAGGTCAGAATGTCTTCTGAGAAACACTGCTCCTCCCTTATTATGCAGTAATGTTTCCCTTCTCGTCTGTATATTTTTGTGTGTAGTACCTATCCTGTATTTTAAACAGAATTCAAATTCAAGGTGTTCCATTTCTAAATTCAGAAGGCTCTGTGAACCCAAGCTATGGGGTTTATTCCCCTTTTGCCTTGTGAGGCTGAGCACCTGCTCTTCAGCTAAATGGAGGCTCTGTACTGACTAGAATTAATGGGACCATAACCGTATCTCAGGTCATCTATTACACAGAGACCTCATTAAAAACCCTGCTGCTAGACTCAGACAGCAGCACCAAGTCCAATCAGAAGCAACTTTACCACAATCGCACACAATCCATCAATGGAAGAATGCTGTTTGTAGGAACGAAGTGGATAAAATGAACCGCACAATCATCCGTTGCACACTAAGTACTCAACATTTTACGAAGCAGCACTCAGGTTTAAATTGAACTTTGCTATCACTCAACACTCATAAAAAATCCAGTGGTTCAGATAGGAATGCATTGAAAGACTCCCAAGATTGTATTTTCACAGCTGCTTCTCAAATCACAATTAGGTCTTAGTAACCTGTGAATCTGGGAATGTGATTTAGCATAACCTAATCTAGTGCTGTCCCTGGGGGTGTGTCATTCCTACCATTTGCCTTAAGAGGAAAACGTGGGTTTCCCTATCTCTGAAGGATGCTGGCAGCTCTCCATTCTATAGCTGCCGGCAAACTGCTTCCATGCGTCACGCAAAATTCTGTCACTTGCTCCCAGGCCAGGAAGTTGGCAGGATTTCAAATAAAAAACTAGAACACCAGAGTTGAGAATGAATCTTAAAAAAAAAACAGATTGTTACTCCAGAATGATACGGGATAGGCATGTATTTCAAAGCAATTTCTATTGTGTTTATAAATGGGAGTGAGGAACAGGATCCACAATCTCTGCCTTGCACAAGAACATCCAGGAAGGGTGGGGACTGAGAGAAGAGAACTGACTTAATTCTGCTAAGCATGTTTTAGAGAACAGTACTTGAAAACATCTTGTTGATGTATAGACCCCTCTCTCTGCAGAACCACTTTGCTGCAGAAGCAAGAAGGTGCAATTTTGGGCTTGAAAACAGCATCCAGAAGACAGTTTAAAAAGAACAATGCACTAAATGTGCATGCAAAGTGGACAGATATAATTTCAAGGAGTTAGGAAGTGTAAAGCACTCTAGACGGTTGCGGAAAGCAAAAAGTTCCAGTTGATCACTGCTCAGCCAGTACTTCTGCTACCAGAACCCCCAAGAGATGCAGCGCCCCTCGCACTTGCCGCAGTCTGGGGATCCCACCACTTTGTCCTCAGCACTTCCACGACTAACGGGGCTAATCCCCGTCTGCACCTTCATAAGCAAGAGCTGTATCAAAGCACCTGTGTGTCCGCTTCTCTGTTACAAACTGCAGATTACTGGGAAGTCAAAGTCACTTTCCATCTGATTCCTTCACGGTCTTAAACTACTCCGCAAGCTGAGCTGCTGCAAAAATACAGAGTCAACATTCACCTCCCCATCCACAGTGGGACCTTTCCAAGCAGCCGTCCAGAGAATTCCAGAGACAAGTCCAATGTGGTTCTCAAATGAGGGAATTATGCGAATGGGATGGAGACAAGCCCAAGCTCACCTTGGACGTCTTCTTCACCACCATCACCATCTTCTTCCTCATTGTAGGCCAGCTCAGCCTGCTTGTCTGCCTCATACTCACCCACGTTCCCATCATCCCCATTATAATCCGCCAGTTTAGAGCCATGTTGCGGATCAACAGGGGATTCATTTTCATCAAAGAACCGGCCTGTGAAGTAGGTAAAGGATTTATAGTCAGAAGCAAAGGGTGGGAAGAGAAAAGATGGAAATGGGATGGAAAGGAGAATGGAATCCAAACTCAAAAAATTCTTTGGTTCAAATAAATCTTACAGCTTTGTAAATTGTGAAAAATGGATGTGCAGCTGAAGACCTTTTTAGGAAATTCTATTGCCAGAAACTTCAGAAAGCGCAAGTTTTGTAACCTTTAGTTATACATTCTAGGAAGACATCTGCAAGATTTCAAACCTGAGTCAGGAATAAATACCCATACTTTCTACAAATGCCATTTTTTATCCAAGACCACTGATTTTTCTTTTTTTTTTACTTCAGTGTTGGACTTTCTTCATCTAAAGGCCCCAAAAGTTTGCCTTAAAAGAAGGCAAGTGACCAACCTGGGTTGGCTGAACCTCTTCCAGAAACTGCACTCTTAAGCACAAACTCATGAATTGCTATTGATTAAACGTTTGCAAGAGATGCTGATTGCTTTGACAGGTCCTGAGCTATGTAATTACAAAACTCTGTCTGACTCTAATGCAACTATTATCTAGTGTGAAAGGACTAGAAATTTAAAGCATTACAATTCCAAGTTTAAAAGGAATCTGAAACTGAAATCTCACTCCACACTGTTGCAGTATGGATTAAACTGAAAAAAAAAATGAATTTATAACACACGAGCAAAGAGGAAGATCCCACGTCATGCAGATGATAAACGGGTCTAAAGCAAGTCTCTGAGCCCAGTGCAGTGAATTAACCATCCGCTGTATGGGAGTCTGAAAAAAGAGGGATTGACTTCCTTTTATTTCCAGAATAAAGAGATGTGTAAAGGCTGCCCCTTTATCCAAAGAACACATTGTTGTTAGTTGCAAATTCGTGTCCGACCCATTGCGACCCCATGGACAACATTCCTCCAGGCCTTCCTGTCTTCCACCATCCCCCAGAGTCCACTTAAGCGCACACCAACTGCTTCAGAGACTCCATCCAGCCACCTCATCCTCTGCCGTCCCCTTCTCCTTTTGCCATCTATTGTTCCCAGCATTAGGCTCTTCTCCAGGGAGTCCTTCCTTCTCATTAGGTGGCCAAAGTATTTGAGTTTCATCTTCAGGATCTGGCCTTCTAAAGAGCAGTCAGGGTTGATCTCCTCTAGGACTGACTGGTTTGATTGCCTTGCGGTCCAAGGGACTCGCAGGAGTCTCCTCCAGCACCACAATTCAAGGGCCTCAGTCCTTCAGCGCTCAGCCTTCTTTATGGCCCAGCTTTCACAGCCATACATTGCAACTGGAAAAACCATAGCCTTGACTATACACATTTTTCTTGGCAGGGTGATGTCTCTGCTTTTTAGTATGCTGTCTAGATTTGCCATAGCTTTCCTCCTCAGGAGCAAGCGTCTTTTAATTTCTTGGTTGCAGTCCCCGTCTGTGATCTTCGAGCCCAGGAAAATAAAATCTGTCACTACCTCCATTTCTTCCCCATCTATTTGCCAGGACGTGAGAGGACCGGATGCCATGATCTTAGTTTTCTTAATGTTGAGTTTCAAGCCAACTTTTGCACTCTCCTCCTTCACCCGCATCAATAGGCTCTTTAGTTCCTCTTCACTTTCTGCCATGAGAGTGGTATCATCCGCATATCTGAGGTTGTTGGTATTTCTCCCAGCAATCTTAATTCCAACTGGTGATTCATCTAGCACCACCTTTCTCATGATGCGCTCTGCATATAAGTTAAATAGACAGGGCAACAGTATACAGCATTGCCAAACTCCGTTCTCAATTTTGAACCAATCAGTAGTTCCGTGTCCAGTCCTCACTGTTGCTTCTGGACCCGCATACAGGTTTCTCAAGAGACAAATAAGATGGTCTGGTACTCCTATCTCTTTAAGAACTTGCCACAATTTGCTGTGATCCACACAATCAAAGGCTTTAGCATAGTCAATGAAGCAGAAGTAGATGTTTTTCTGGAACTCCCTAGCTTTCTCCATGATCCAGTGTATGTTGGCAATTTGATCTCTAGTTCCTCTGCCTCTTCGAAGTCCTGCCTGTACTTCTGGTAGTTCTCAGTCCACATACTGCTGGAGCCGAGCTTGTAGGGTTTTGAGCATAACTTTGCTAGCATGTGAAATGAGTGCAATGGTGTGGTAGTTTGAACATTCTTTGGCATTGCCCTTCTTTGGGATCGGAATGTAAACTGACCTTTTCCAATCCTGTGGCCACTGTTGAGTTTTCCAAGTTTGCTGGCATATTGAGTGTAGCACTTTTACTGCATCGTCTTTTAGGATTTTGAATAGCTCAGCTGGAATACTGTCACCTCCACTAGCCTTGTTGTTGGTAAGACTTCCTAAAGCCCTTTTGACTTCACATTCCAGGATGTCTGGCTCGAGGTCAGTGACCATCCCATCGTGGTTATCAGGGACGTTAAGGTCTTTCTTGTATTGTTCTTCTGTGTAATCTTGCCATCTATTCTGCCTCTGTTAGGTCCCTGCCATTTTGGTCCTTTATCATGCCCATCTTTGCATGAAATGTTCCCTTCATATCTCCAATTTTCTTGAAGAGATCTCTGGTCCTCCCTATTCTATTGTTTGCTTCTATTTCTTTACACTGTTCATTTAAGAAGGCATTCTTATCTCTTCTAGCTATTCTCTAGAATTTTGCATTCAATTGAGTGTATCTTTCTTTCTCCCTTGCCTTTCGCTTCCCTTTTTTCCTCAGCTATTTCTAAAGCTTCCTCAGACAACCATTTTGCTTTCTTGCATTTCTTTTTTTTGGAATGGTTTTAGTTGCTACCTCTTGTACAATGTTGCGAACCGCTGTCCACAGTTCTTCAGGCACTCTGTCTATCAGATCTAATTCCTTAAATCTATTTGTCACCTCTACTGTATATTCATCAGGGATATGATTTCGTTCATACCTGAGTGGCCTAGTGCTTTTCCCTACTTTCTTCAATTTAAGCCTAAATTTTGCAACGAGAAGCTCATGATCTGAGCCACAGTCGGCTCCTGGTCCAGTTTTTACTGACTGTATAGAGCTTCTCCATCTTTGGCTGCAGAGCACATAGTCAATCTGATTTCTGTGCTGACCGTCTGGTGATGTCCATGTGAAGTCATCTCTTGGCTTGTTGGAAAAGAGTGTTTGCTATGACCATCGTATTCTCTTGACAAAATACTACCAGCCTGTGCCCTGCTTCATTTTGTACTCCAAGGCCAAACTTGCCTGTTATTCCGGTTATCTTTTGGCTTCCTACTTTAGCATTCGAATCCCCCATGATGATAAGGACATAATTTTTTGGTGTTAATTCTCGAAGGTGTTGTAGGCCGTCATAGAACCGGTCAACTTCAGCCTCTTCAGCACCAGTGGTTGGGGCATAGACTTGGACTACTGTGATGTTGAATGGTTTGCCTTGGATTCGAACGGAGATCATTCTGTCATTTCGGAGATTGTATCCCAGTACTGCTTTTCCTACTCTTTTATTGACTGTGAAGGCTACTCCATTTCTTCTGAGGGATTCTTGCCCGCAGTAGCATACCTGATGGTCATCTGAATTAAATTCACCCATTTTAGTTCATTGATTCCTAAGATGTTGATGTTCAGTCTTGTCATCTCTTGTTTGCCCACATCCAGCTTACCTTGATTCATGGATCTTACAATCCAGGTTCCTATGGAGTATAGATCTTTGCAGCATCGGACTCTCCTTTCACCACCAGATACATCCGCAACTGAGTGTCCTTTCGGCGTTGACCCAGTCGCTTCATTCTTTCTGGCGCTGCTAGTACTAGCCCTCTGCTCTTCCCCAGTAGCACACTGGACACCTTCCGACCTGAGGGGCTCATCTTCCAGCGTCATATCTTTTTGCCTTTTGGTACTGTCCATGGGGTTTTCATGGCACAGGTACTGGAGTGGGTTGCCATTTCCTTCTCCCGTGGATCAGCTTCTGTCAGAGCTCTCTGCTATGACCTGTCTGTCTTGGGTGGCCCTGCACGGCATGGCTCACAGCTTCATTGAGCTACGCAAGCCCCTTCGCCACGACAAGGCAGTGATCCATGAAGGAGAAAGAACACATGAGCTCGACTAAAACTAGAGTTCCATGTCTTTCAGACAACTGTGTCTACTGTGGTCCACAAATTGCAAGGCAATCAATCCATCAATAAAATCATCAATATGAAAGCAATAAATAAAAAGATCCCACAATTACTTCAGCAAGTTTTCTCCTCATCTACTTAGTAAAACCTACAGTCAAGAGTTAAGTGCAGTAAGAAATTCATAGAAAGAGAATAATTTGCAACTATGCCACGAATACCTACCTAAAATTACCCAACTGAAAAACATGAACCAGCTAACCTGAGCTAATTAGTTCACAGCTCATCCATGAAATCCTGAAATATATTTAGAGAATTCTTCTTGAAAATTTTGAAAGACTGTCTGCTTCCTGATAGCAGTCAGAATCGGCACAAAGCCAAAGGTGCCCTTCAGGACAGTGCAGAATCTCAGTCACCTAAGAGGACAGGGAGCATCCGCTACACTAGGAGTCCTCCCTCGTTGTGGAGCATTTCCTTTGGGTACTGCTTTTGAAAGTCTATTCCCACGAACTCGATCATCATCCAGCTGCAAAAGAAGTTTCACTTGCATGTCTCAAAGTGGAAAATTCCAGCACAGTGCCGTGAGGTCAGTGGAGAGTGCTGGCCCGGAAGCAGGGAAGGTGCAGGCCGTACTCCACTCAGCCATGAAACCCACTGGGTGGCTTGGCCCTGGCTGCTCCTCTCAGCCTGGCCTGCCCCACAGGACTGTTACGGTGAGGAAAAAATGGAGGACTCTGAGGGGAAAGGTAGGATATCAATGCTCTGCAACAGCACCTCTAATCTTGGGTCTGCCTAAGCAGACTAAGCGCAAGGGCGTTCCAGCATGCCACTTCCATCGCGATGGACTGCGGGAAGCCAGCCTTTTCTGAGGGTACTCTTGCATGCGTGCAAGCCCTCATTATTATTATTATTATTATTATTATTATTATTATTATTATTATATTTCTATGCCGCCCCTTGCCGAAACCTCGGGGCGGCTTACAACACAATAAAATACATTGAAATACAATAGAACATAATAAATTACCATTAAATACAAAAATACAAAAAATACACTGAGTTACAAATATAAAATTAAAATTATCAGTATAAAATAAGTCAATAAAAATATAGGAGGAGAAAGAGAAGGAAGAAGAAGTTGCCCTGGCCAGATCACATGTTTTAACAATTAAAATGATGTTTAAATAAAAAGGTCTTTACCTGGCGCCGAAAAACCAGTAACGACGGTGCCAGGTGGACCTCTTTGGGGAGTGAATTTCATAGGTTGGGCGCCACCGCAGAGAAAGCCCTCCTCCGAGTACTTACTCTCCTGATTTCTTTCATGGAGGGTTCCTGGAGAAGGGACTCTCCCGCAGATCTCAAAGGGCGGTCAGACATATACGGACATAAGCGCTCGTTCAGGTAGCCAGGACCCAAGCCGTTTAGGGCTTTATAGGTCATAATCAACACCTTGAATTGGGCCCGGGCTTCAATGGGAAGCCAGTGAAGCTGACGGAGGACTGGAGTCATGTGCACATAACACCCCGTCCCCGTCAGCAACCTGGCAGCTCTATTTTGCACCAATTGAAGTGTTCGGACTGTCTTCAGGGGAAGCCCCAAGTGTTTCTGGAGAGTCGGGCAGACTCATACCAGTGCGAACTACTGGAGAATCAAACTGCATTTCGTTTCTTACAGCAGAGGGAGCAGGGCACACGAACGTGTTGCTGGCAACAGGAGTGTACAAGCGATCCCAGCCTGGCGCTGTGCATGTTCCAGGGGCTCACGGTGCAGGGTTTCAGTAGGAGTGGCCCAAACCAGGGACCAGACGCTCTGGCAGGAACAGCTCAGTGGGCTTCCCGTTCATTTCCAGGTCCAGTGCAACATGCCGGTGTTGATCTCTACATGCAAAGGGGGTCCCTCAGCTGGGAGCTGGGATTTGGGAGCTGCCCCCAGGTGCTGGAACCTCCTCCTGCGAAAACCTCCTCTGCCCTCTCTTTAAAGGCTTTCCAACATTTGGAAATGCTTTGAGGCTGTGAGATGTATCAACCTGACTTGCAGTTCTTCCTCTGTTGGGTTCTTAAAATCCTAACCACAGGTGCTGGCTTCGGCCTATGAAGTCATACGTGGCTTGCGCTCTCCTCACCAGTCTAGGACACTTGGATCAAGTTCTGGGCCCTTCCTCCGACTGCCGCCTCCAAGGCAGCCTCGGTCGGTGGCCACAGGGAGAGGGGCCTTTTCAGTGGTGCCTCCCCAGTTATGGAATGAGGGCCCCACTGAGGCTCACCCGGCACCAACCTTGGTATCTTTCCAGCACCAGGTTAAGACTGTCCTCTATCTCAGGGCACTGAATTAGTCATTTGGGAGAGGCGTTGTTAGCCACTTAAACAGGTCTTTTGATTAATTCATATAGGCCGTTGTAATTTTTATGTGTGTGTTAATGTTTTATTAGAACTTTTTATGATGCATTTAATCTTGTCTGTATTTTTATATTGTATTTTCGTGTGCTGTAAACAGCACGGGATGCTCCAGCTACTGGGTGGCAGAGAAATGAATTAATTACTCAGTCAACGACCCTCCCCTATGCACAAGAGGAAAGCAAGCTGGTGTGGGGGAACTCAAAGCTCCGCAGAAATACCAACCAGTTTAGGAAAAACCCCAAACTGTTTTCAGGGGGAAAGGGGATGCACCAGGCACCCCAGCGCTGAGCCACGGTGCTTGGTGACGGCAGGATGGGAGGACGGGGCGGGAAACGGAAAGGGGGAGGACGTGGGGGTGGCATGCTGTCTCCCGGCACATCAGGTGGCACATCCGGTGGCAACAGGCTGCCGCAAGCCCCGCTTGGGATGACTTAGCTCTGCTTTTGCCTTTGCCTGGCTATCGTGCGACTCAATGTTCTTGCACTGCCTGTTTGATCTTCCTGCTTCTAGGCTTTTATTTTGCTCTCATACGCAATACTGAGAGCCAGTGCGATGCAGTGGCCTGGACTCGGGCGATCCGGGTCCTAGTTCCCACTCAGCCTTGGAACTCACCGGGTGCCTTTGGGCCAGCCACCCATGCTCAGCCTACCTCACAGGGCTGTTCTTGTGAGGATAAGACTGAGAGAATTGTGGGAGCCACCTGAGTACCTTGGAAGGAAAAAGGTGGGATGTAAATAAAATAATAAATGCATCTTGTAAGACTGGATTATTGTTTCTCCAGCTGTCAGCTGTACTGATTTTAAGGAAAGGCAGGATACAAATGTTTAAAAATAGGTATGTTCGGATTAACCATGTTTCAACTAAAGCTACACAGAGATATTTATGAAGGCTGAGATACCATTCTTCACGAAGAAGTTAAGTCTTTCCCCATCCCAGCTCAACTTTTTTTATTTCTAAGAGTTATATTAAAACTTTAAATGAGGCAAGCAATGTAATAAATCAGATAATGGGTGTAAAAAGATACTAAATATGGCTTGCGTTGCTCCTCAGGAGCTTTATCAGCTTGATTTTACTGAACCACTAAAATGTGATACAACGGTTAAGCAATGTCAAAATAAGGGGACATGGGAGTTAAGATTAATCAGCAGATTGTTTTTGATTCAGATCTTTAACACACCTAAGCAAAAGTCAGCAAAATCACAGCTGGATGCTTGAACAGTATTAGGTCCTCAAAGGCCCTACACTACAGAAATAAAGAATAATAAAGAACCCAAAAAAGGCTTCAGTGGCTTGTGCAGTCTTAAAACTTGGTTCTAAGTTAAGAAAAGCTGAGAATTGTTTTCAGGCAATTCCGTGAAATTAGGAGATCTCAACTGATTAAGCACTCTAAGATCTCATCAAGTGATTCTTTTCACTGAAGTCTTATTGTGAGAACTGGGCTAGTTTAAAGTGAATCTGACCCACTCTGCTGTGACTTTCAGATCCTGGAAAATAAGACCTACTATCTCCTCCTCTTCCATCCACATACTGTGTGGTCAGACCTCCTGCAGGAGGCCGGCTGCTGGGGAACTAGGCTGAGGGTGTTGTGGCACCCCTGTCCCACAGGTGGGTTCCCACGGGCAGCTGAGGTCGGGGTGGAGGGCTGTCACCGTGTGAACAGAATGCTGGGATGGATGGGACTTGGGTCTCCAGCCCCGGGGCTCTTGTGATGCTCCTACAGCAATGAGGACACAGCAGCAGCAGCAGCCCTGTGATGTGTGCAAGCTTTTCCTGACCATCCATCTCGAAATCTTGAAACTGGTGTGTTCATGCACAAATATTACAATCTACTGGAGGAATTGCGTTAAGTATGTATTTCGGTTCATGCACAAACGGCCCTTTGCTAGAACCTCATTTGTCTACCACTCAAAACCGTCTGGAAAAGAGCTATTTTCACCTACCATTCATCAACCCCCAAACTACATGCAAGCCATTAATCCGGGGAGCTAAACTGATGCAAACCTGCATGGGAATGTTCTCAACCTTCCTGTGTAATACATTCAGATACAATCTCAAGTTAAGAGAAGAAACTAAAACTAAATGAAAGCTGAACATTTTAACTACCCTTCTTAAAAGTCTCAAACCCCTTTTAATTCAAGAGTCTCCCTTAATTCAAGAGTCACTTCAGTTTCTATGCATGAATTCTGCTCTGTGAAAGTGGTGTGAAGCATGCAACCTGCCATTAAAACTGTTTTTTGAATGAATTGCCATCTCTAGATAGTATTGCTTTAAATATTTTTAAATGTACACTTCTGCACTTATTTTCATTTAAAGCAACGCAGTGCTACACTGCTGTAAGCTACTCTGAGCATTCTATGAGCCAACAGGATACTAACAGTAATCATTATTCCTACTGTACGCAACACCAAGCCTACACAATTAATGTATGCCAAATGAAAATCCATGCTATTAAAACACTTCCCCATCTCAGAAAGCCCTGGTGTTGTCCGACAGGGTCTCCTCTAACTCCTTGCTAGGGATGTGTGAATCAAGAAGACAAGCTCCCTTCAAATGCCACCTCAAACCTCATTCTGATAGAAGCCAAAACTGAGGGCTTTGTGTCTTCCTTTTCACACAAAAACCTGTGCATGATTTTATGTATATTTCCTAAATGTAAATATCAATTGTCAAAATGAAAATATTCTTTTCCCTCTGATTAAAGCATATTTTTAATCAGAGGGAAATTTTTTATGCTTTTCTCCAACATGTACAATGCAGTTAAGTGCTTTCTTTTGGCCTGCAAATCACACTGCAAGCTCAAAAATGTACAGACTTTGACCACAAATTGTGTCTGAGTCTTTCTTCAGGACAGAAAGTGAAAAATATGTAAATCCTGATCAAAAATGGACTGAAAAAAACTTTCTCATGGCAGCCCACAGATTTGTCCAAACCCTTCTATATGAGAAAAACAGTCAGACAGCAGAGCATGGCCCCCTTGAGGCAGGTTGTGCCGTCACAATTCTCAGCTAAAAGGCTGGATCCAGATTTACTCCAAGTTTTAGGAAATCCACTGAAATCAGTGGGACTGGAGTTAGTAATGAGTAATTTAAATTCCACTATTTAAGAAGGTCTATTCATAGTAGCCCTACTTGGAACCAATCCAAGATCTTTAGCATTAAAGTTATCTAAGCAGCAACTTAACTAGAAAATACACACAACCAAATACAGGAGCAAGTTTTGCCCACACTTCAGTTTTCTGTGGCAATACAAACTTCCATCCCAATCAATGTGATGCAGTTTAAATCAGTAACTAACAGACTGACTTACTTTGCTTCAATCTCTGGAAGTCACTGGCTCTGTCTTTTGAAGCCCGTTTTACAACTTCTACTTCAGCTTTTTGATTACCCAGGACATGACCAGGAATTAAATGCTGAAGAGGGTTTGATGGTATCTGATTCATCGCATCATTTCCATCCTGGTTCATATTGATGCCTGTAACATACAGAAGCAAGTAGTTCAAACACTCTATTCAGGCACAAGGAAAAATGTATTAAATGTCATTTGATGGGCAGGTTGTCCAGATGCCTCCGCAGAGTTAGAAACCCCAATGCACCTTTGTGAAAACATTTGTTCTGTTAAGTGCTGGCATGCAATCTTCTCCCAATCACCTCCATTTTCCTTTATCAACTTGAGTATTAACAGAACAATTGGGAAGGGAGGATCTATGATTAGCTGTTCTTTCAGCCATGCTTCTCCAAAAACCTTTGAAGAATTCTGCAGATATGCTCAAAAGAATCAGGGTTCCTTGTGTCCAGGCACTGCTTTCTTGCCAAGCATAGTGATTATCTCAGCCATTCTTAAGGAACAGAGAAGGAAAACCTGGTTTAACTTCCTTGAAATTTTCCTCACAGGCGTTCCTTCCAACTAGTGCTCTGACATGATTCCAACACTGACAGCAGGAATACTTCTGCCCTTTCCAAAAGTCCGGCTGGCCAGTTATCCCCGAGTCCTTCATTCCTCCAAAATGGAACAACACCCGCTCCGTCATATTTGTGCTTAACTCAGTTTGCCCAAAGAGCCTTTCCCCCTCGAGTATCATTAGGCAGATGCACCACAACTTAAACGGCCTGCAGTGGGTTAAATCTTGGCGACGGTGCAAACTGTGAGAAGGCTGCCAAGCACAATCACACTCTGTGAATGCAGCAAGGCCGAAAAGGTCCATGGTGGAGAGATTAAAAAATGGTCCTCTCCACTCAGGAACCTGAGTCTCTGCAACAGGGTTCTGGGTGAGCTGACACACACCAGTAAGGTACTGGGAGGTTCAGCTGTGAGAAGTTCCCTTTTCTTGGGAGCTCTGGCAAGCGCCGACTTCCCTCAGCAGCATTCTCAGGGTCCAACTGAAAAATTCTACATGGAGGGACGAGCAAGCGTCGTGTCATGATTAAGAGTGCGGGACGGTGACTCGGGCAACCCGGGTTCTAGTCTGGGTGGCCATGGGGCTCGCTGGGTGACTTCAGAAGCTGTTCTGGCAGGGTAAAGGCCGGGTAACAATATATGAACCTTGCCTTAAATGCTAAAAGACAAGGTATTCTAAAATTCTGAAAGATCAGTTCACAGTCCAAAGCCATTCCAAAATAAAATAAAGAGATTTGTAGAAGGAAAAAAGTGGCTTTTTTGGGACCTTTTTTCAGTTTTGCACTGAGCCTTCTTGTCTCTAGGCTTGATGGTGATGCAGAAGCACAAGTCTACTGACTCCAGGATGGCAGAACAGGTTCTGGGAAGATTCCTCCCACCAGCAAGGCTCAGGAGGCGGCTTTAGAAAAATCCAAGTTTCACAGCATCAGTCCTTGCAGATGCCCCTTTCTGTTGTAAAGGAATCACACAGAGACGTCTTACCTTGAGCAAGGTTTAGAGCCTGGGGTTTTTCTGTGGGAAGATTTCCGTTGGGTTGATACAGATTTTGAGGAGATGAATCGAGTGTCTTCTTTAAAGCTAAACAAAGCAAATTTATGCAATGACTCACTCATTTCTTAATACCAATGGAACGTGCTAGAAGGGGATTCTGCAAAGCAGTCAAAGAGACAGAGAACTAACAGTTCTGCTAAGGACAGATTTCTTATATCTGAACCACGATGAGTACAAATGCAGCCACTGATGTGGACAAATGTTCAGAGCACCACTGGAAGCCCACAAAAAAAAAGGAGTTCCAGCTGGATCCAGAATTCAAGATGCCGCCAGAGTCTGAATCTAGCAATTCCTTGCCTCTCTACCTTGGAAGGCTCTGCTTATACAACATTTCCTTGAAGTCCCATATGGTGCGGAATTAAGCACAATTCCACAGGCTGGTAGAAAGCTCTTTTTGGGGGTTTATTCTAGCAATTCAGTCAGTTTATACTGAGATGCAAAATTAAGGGGCAATCCTGAAATTCTGGTGCTCCGTATAACTTTCCTTGTACATACAAGAACCATACTAGCCTAAAGTCATATCCACCACTGCTTTTCCTAGGAATTGCCTTCTAGCCAAACAGAGCATTCTTCAGCAACCAACTACGAAAAACTGCCACGGCCTTGCCTATGGAGTGAGTGAAAGGAGCAACCCATCATGGAATTTACATCTAGAAAATTAGTAGATCTTAGATGCTTTAGAAATGAAAAACAGAGTGTGTTGCTAACCAGCAAGAGTGTCTTCGGCTTTCGCAGGGTCGTTTTCTTCTATTCCAGGCATGCCTGCATCGTCCCCTGGTTTACTTTTCTCTGTCAAAACAACATGACATTGCTCCTTATTGCACCTTCAATTCAAGGTCCAAGTAAATGCAGGATTGCTACAGAGACAGGACTAAAGGCGGTGGATCATAGTTGCATAATGTGAGACGGGACAAATCTCTCCACCCCATGAGGACACCCGACTGCTGAATATTCTCTCAAACCATCAATACAGATGGAGATTTTACCCATGTCTTACCACTGCTGCACTAGACAGACCTTTGCCATCTGAGATATTGTTGGCTGAAGGTGCTTCATTCTTAATTATGTTGCTTTCATCCATATCTTGAGTGATCTTCAATATTGTTGGATTATTGCTCTGACCTGCCTCAGTATCTTTACTGGACTGGCTCTTGTGAGCCATCTGATAAGAGAAAATTAAGAACTAATGTTAGAAAGGAACAGATTTGGTTAAGCTTTGAATCAGACTTTGATCAAGCTTTTCACGCTTAAGTGCAAGGATTCTCAGCTCTGCTGCCAAAGGAAATGATCAACGCAGGAATCTCTTTCCTTCCTCTAAGCTGGGTTTTCACAGGCAGAACGTCCTTTGCTTGTGTCCTTCACTCCATGGAATCCAACACCATGTTTATGGGAACGGGGCCTACTCTGACCCAGCAATGGGAATGAGAACAAGCTCTGTCCTGAGTGAAGCCAGAGAACAAGCTGGGAGCAAGCCAGAGAGACCCTCCGCTCCTGAAGGGCCCGGCCTGCGTGATCCTCCCGCAACTCCCGGGGCTGCCTCGGCCCTGCAAGCCCCAAAGGGAGGCTGAAGAAGTGGCCGGGGAGCCCAGGCCCTCAGCTCCTCGGTCAGCCTGAAAGAACTGTTCTGGGGTGTTGCAGGGAGCACCGGCTCACGTCTGCTTCAGCAGTTAAAAACTGCTGGCTGCCATGGGTGCCTTGGCAGAAAGGGAGGGCAGAAAAGGAACAAGAACATGAGCACTGCCACGTCTAGGATCGTGGTCCCTGGCCACTGGAGCCCATCTTGTGCTGGCCAGGATCAAGCGCCTCCTGTGGATGCCCCCTCATGCCCAGCAAGGAAAGGGTTACAGGCAGAAAAGGACAGTGCAAACACCCCTCAGTGCCTACCGCATTTTGTTTTACTCCAGCACAACTTCTGATGGCTCCCTACCTTTTGGTCTTGTATAATTTGGTCCTCCAACTTCTTCATATCTTCCTCATGCTGCATTCTCAATTCCTTGATCTGTTGTCCGCACTGAAAACTGGCAGAACACAGAGAAGTCGTCTACTTCAAGGAAACCAATTTTAATAATCTATTAGCAATGAGTTTGCAAGCACAGGAAGCTCCTCCAAGGTTTTGGCACTCTGAGGGGGCTGCTGATGGCTGTGAAAACAGGGATGGTAAAAGCCAGCTGCCAAGACTGATGGCACCATCTCAGGTGAATGGAAAAGGAGTAAACGGTGGGGGGGGAGCCAAAATTTGGAAGATTCTAGCGACAAGATTTCACAGGATTCCAAATAGCATTGCTTCTATGGTAAGCCAACCCAAACAAGAAGTTCTTTGCTCCTGTCCTTCAGGGCAGGAAGGAGTTTGTTGGCCCACAACCACAGTAGTCGTGAAACATGCTCTTTTTCCTACTTTTGTGTACCACCAGAAAAGAACTCGACAACATTAGCTCAGATTCACCTTGGGGCACTCACCTTTCATACTCCAACCTTTTAAGAAGCTGGGTATTGTTCTTCTTGTATTCATGTAGCTGATCCTCCTGACGAATGAACTCTTGACGCAACTCTGCAAGTTGTTCTGAGTCAAATTGTAAAGGTAACAGTTGTTTTAAAAGAATTCCTTCCTAGCATAACTTTGACTGTTTCTAATACTGGAAAGTCAAACCACTACTAAAAATCTTGAGTACAAAAACTAAAACTATGAGCACTCTGTTGGCCAACTGATAGCAAAATTACAAATTACAATGACTTTTTGGGGTCCTTACTCCACAGCTGTCTTTATTAAATGACAGAAGTCGCTATTTTGAGTGGGGTGGGGGTGCTGCTTCTGCATTTTGAGCACCATCATTTAGCACAATACCAGAAATTGGGGCTTTGGTGTTTCATGCATTCGAGAAGCCTATCACTCATTGGGAAATTGCATCACACAAAAACAATGATTATGTGTTAAGATGATGTAACACCATTATAAGAACAGACACGCTTTCCTTTTGTCCTCCCCCCTCTCCGTCCCTTTGGCTTCATGACATGGTAAGCCCAAAGGCAGGGACGGTCTCTGCAACTGTTCGGGGGCCTTGGTCTGCCCAAGCCAGGGGGCGGAAATGCAATGCCTGACCAGACCAAAGGCCCATCTAGCCAGCCTTCTGTCCCCCGGTGGTCCGCCCGCAGGGAGCGCGCCAGCGGGACAAGCAACACACAACGCCTCCATCCTGCCCGAGTTCCCCACCATGCGAGTCTGAATTACTCAGCTGAGCAATGCTCGACTCAACATCTCCCAACAAAGGTTTCCGCTGGCAGGCGTGCTACTGCTGCTCGAATCTGCAACTCACACTTCGTCTGTGCAGTTAGTTTACATACAGAGCCAGCTTTTTCCCGCCAGCAAGCATCAACCCCCTCCCCTTCCCCTCCCCCCACACCAGACACGGGTTCTTCTGTTTGCTTGCTTGCTGGCGTGCAGCATCCTTTTGGGAAGCCAAAGAATTCTCCCTGCATTCTGTAACAGAACAGAACACAGTTTTTGCCTTTGATGCGGAACATGGGGAGACACTGGGTAACAAGAGTTACCTCCTGTGCCAGATCAACAAAGGCCACATATTATGAAGTTCTAGTTCACGGTAATACCATGAGTTGCTGCCTTTTATCGGATGCCCTTTCCATTCACAGCCCTCTGTAACGTGCTGCAGGTTACTGAGTGCATTTGACCGATCAGTATGACTTACCTTTTAAGCGATGTATGTCTGCCATTTGGTATGATATGTTGTTCTGAAGTTTGACCTGAAGAGGAAAAATTGTTTTTAAAAATGTTGGATTAGTAGTTGTATGTGACAGAAAGTTTTCAAACATCAGAATGATCCCAGGCACCTAGACTTTGCTGAAACTCTGTTCTTACTAGATAAGCAAAAGCCTCCACTGATGCTTGCATTTCATTTGATATGTTGTACACAATACACCTAAAGGTTTTTAACAAAAAGAAACCATAAGTTTTTATTGATTCACTTTCCACAAATTGCTTTATTATTCTACCTATTTTATCTTTTTATAGTTCCCCACTCCAGAATCTATTTAGATGTAGAGCAAGCAGTTTGTATTTATTACAATTATAAGAACTTGTAATAAACTGCCAGAGGTGAGAATTGGAGAAAAATGTGAGTCATATTGATCCCTTCCCAGCCTCCACTCAAAATTAGAGCTGAAGCAGATAGAACTTGGCATCCTGAAAAAATAAAAATCCAGACTGTGTGTTCCTTAGAAAGCAGTGATAGTGCCTATGTTCTGTGACCTCATATAAAAACACATTAACTTACAAGAATAAAATGAATTGTGACTTCATCTGCATCAAGCAGTCAGATATTAATCACAAAAAACAAACAAACCCTTGGAGTAGCCAATGTGCTCAACCTCTAGAAGGCCTACTTTCCACATTTATGATTGAAGTATGGTCTTCAGTTCCTAAAGGCATTTTCAAACTTACTTTTCAGCACTGTTCACAACATTGTTCCAACTACCGTGAAGCACCCTGTATAAAACCGGCTATGTTAGCAGAAGGCAAACCCTAACAAAATTTAAGGCTGTGCCACTACATTACATATTTTTCTATTACATTAATTATGTCACATAACAGCTTGTTTAAGACTGAAATTGGTCTAGCGTACAATCTGATTAAGGCCAAAAACCTGAAAGGCAGCTATTTGTACAACAGAACTAGCAGCACATAAAAAAATCTTTCCACAACATATTTCTGTACAATATTCATGGCTGCACAAGATGCTCTAAAGTTGTAAACCCTATAACCCTGTGTTTTGTCAAGGTAACTTCTGACTTTCGACTAATATACTTGCGTCTTGAGTAAAACACCATGAAAGCTTGCAAGCTTTGGGTGGCTTACTAAAGATGGCCTAATAAAGGTATCACCCTAATCAAGCCTGCATAATTAAAAGCAAGCAGAATGGAAGAGAAGTTGCAAAATCGGTGTGGTCAGGCAGAGAAAGGAGACTGCAGACCGTCGAAGGAGCTGTGAGGGGTTCAAGGTTGCACTCAGGCCAGTGCACAGGGCCACAGGAGTGGGAGGCACACAGCTGATCCTCCCACTTTCGCTCTCCTTCGCAACAGCAGGACTCGCACGCTGCCGACAAATACCACAGGTCGAGCCGCAGCCGCCTTCCAGCCAGAGAGGGGCCCCGCAGCCTCACCTTGCCCTCCTCGCACTTCCGGATCTGGCCGTCCTTGGCCTGCAGCTGGCTGCTCAGGTGGCTGTGGTCCGCCTCCTTCTGCTCCAGGTGCTTCTTGTGCGACTCCACCTGGAGCAGGAGCTCGGAGTTCCGCTTCTCCAGGCGCCCCCGGGCCACATCGCTGCGCTTGGCCTGGCCCTGCAGCTCGGCCACCTCCTCCTGCAGGACCGTCTGCCGGGAGGACGTGCTCCAGTAGTTGAAGGCGAGGATGGCGACGGCCAGCAGCAGGGCCGCGAAGAGGAACGACGGGAGGCGGCCACCCCTCCGGTTGGCCCCAAACCCCACCATGGGGGACGCGGGTCGCGGGCCGGCGCGTCAGCCTCTCGCCGCACCTGCGAGGGGAGGGAGGGCGAGAAGGTCACCGGCCTCGACGCGGACCGTCCCGGGGCCGCGCCCGCCCTCGCCGGGGGACTCCGCACAGCGCGCCGGGCGGGTCGTCAACGCGGGCGAAGCCGGGCGCAGGGGCAGGCCCGGGCGCGCGCGGCCCGCATTCTCACGTGCGCGCCATGCACAACGCGGGCCGGCGGGGGGCTGCGGCCGCCGCCGCCCCCTGCGGAGGCTCCGGTCCCGCGGGCGGGCATGTCCGGCGAGGCCCGCCTGCTTCAGCCGGCGGAGACCCCGGGCAGGCCGCCCGGCTCCCCACGGGCCGTCAGCCAGCGCCGCGGCCCGCCCGCTCGCCGGCCCCCCCGCCGGCCC